AAAAGGGTGTAGGCAAGAGTATTGTGGACGATTTTGGATTGAATGGTATATTTGAGACTAGCGATGCTGAGGTGTGGCCAAAGATGCAATTAGCCGGTCGGGCCCATCTAAGCACGGATCATCTTCGTCATACCATTGTAGGGTAAAATCACGAATAGAGCGGCCAAATCTGGCGTAGACACCGCAAAACTGAGGATAACGTTGCACGGTTGACTGTGCACCCTTGCACCATTAAAAACACACTAGGGTCCGCTGGTCTAATCACGGTGCAGCAATCGTAGAAGCCATGACTGTTCTGGAAAAATATCAGGGGTCGGCTGTAATTCGTGGAGTCGCATGCTGAGTGGACAATTTGTGTTCGAAAGCATGTGATCAGGTCAAATGGGACCAATATCAACTGCTTCTGCTCCAATGGCCGCGCGTTTGCCTGGATTCGTGAAGGCACAACCCTGCAGCACCACCAAATCAAACAGACGGTAATCCATGGAGACAAGGATTGGTGATGGTGTGGGGATGTGTGACATGTGCAGGGGTGGCGTTCATATGCAAGATTGAAGGACTGTATGAGGGCCTTTTGCATGACAAACTCGAATTGACCCTCCATTTCTATAGCATTTTCCCCTTTGAGGTCATCTTGGTGCGGACAATGACCCGAAGAATTTGTGATGCCTAGTGCAGGAATGACTTGGAGAACATGAGTATATAGCCCTGGAGTGGCCTTCTTTCTCATCAAATCTCAACCTTTGGGCTTACCTGAAAAGAGAGCTAGCCAAGAATAAAAGGCCTTCCTCTAGAATGCTGGAGCTTTAAGACCTGGTCCAGGAAGAATGGGAGAAGATTCATGCTGGGGTTTGCTCTAGCCTCATCAGCAGCTTGCCTAGGAGGGTGCGAACAGTGATCAAGGCCAAAGGTCGGTGGGCTAGGAACTAGAAACACACTTATGAAGTTTGCTCTCTCTGCTTGGAACTATATGTCCGGATATACCCTTTGTATATCTTTTGGGATATGAGTTAGATCTAATGTACTATTTTGGATATTTGTGTTGTGAGCACATCCACTATGTGCCCCTCCCAAATCGTACCACCATTAAACATTAAGGCTTAATGTATAGTGGTCTTAAAGCCAAAACCCAAATTAATGCAAAACATACGGACAATTGCTTCCACCACTGTACAAACTTCCACATGCTTTGTTTTCTTCGAGTGTGAAGGATCTGTTTGTGGCAAAACTCCTGCTTATGGCATCCCTTCTAGAATCCGCAGGCACTGCATAGAACGTGTCCAAAGTGTTCTGACAGCGGATGATGGCGTATGACAGAACGAGTCTCGTCCGTTGTTTCCTGTACGGACGAATGACAACGGCTAGGATTCATTATGTCGTCGGATGCCAGTGGATGACACAACTGCACGTTGGACACGCTCTTAGGGTGTGTAACATACGGTTTCGAAATAAGGGGTGTTCGAACGGAAGTGGGGGGTACTGTGAGTTTATTCGGTTAGACAATCGCGCGGTACAGTGCGGTGAACTTCGTCCGAACTTCGTTCAAAACCTTAGGCTACACGCCCTTAGGCACTGTCCCAGCACACGGACGAACCTAGAGAAGATCCCGATCCGCGACTTGTTTTGATAAATGGACGGCAGGATGACGTGACGAGATGCAAAGGTTGTTCGAAGCTAGAGCTCAGGATAAGACGAGCTTGTGACTTGACCCAGTGACAATGTATCCGGCTAGTCGAATGGAGGCTAGCATGGCAGGGTCTGGCTTGAGCTCCGCCGCTTGCCGTGCTCCTCCTCCGCCACATGCCCTGCTCATCGCGCGGGGAAGCTGGAGTTACAGACACCTATGTCAACAAGGCACACTCAATCTCTCTCTCGCGCCTCCCCCTTTGTCTCCTCTCTCCACCCGCTTCCCTCGACCTGTATCCCTCTACTCCGTCCCCTCCTCCTTTACCCTTCTATTCTGTCCTTCCCTCCGTTACCCCGCTATACCGCTTCCCCCTTCCCGTGCCCCTCTATTCTTCTCCCCCCTTCCCTTACCCCATTTTTCTGCTCCCCCCTTTCCTTACCCTTCAATTCAACTGCCCCCCCTCCCTTACCCCTTCATTCTGCTTCCCCCTCTACATATCCCTCTATTCTGCTCTCCCATTCCATCCACCAGGCCCACCCCACTACCTCGTCCCCCTTTGCTCATCCGAGATTACCTGGTGGTGGATGGCACGCACATCCCCCTTCTCGTCCTTGCATTCTTGTATCAATGCAGGACCATCCCCCATCTGTTTCCCCATCCCCCATCCGTTTCCCCATCCCCCATCCGCTTCCCCATCCTCGGGCTCCTTTCCTCCCTGTTGGCCTTTTTGAGGCGCCTTGGAAGAAGGGGTTACCTTGTCAATGCAGCGCCATCCCTCATCCCCTTTTTCTAAGTTCCAACTCCCTTCCCCCTTTTCCCTCCTCCGCATCCCCCTTCCCCCTTCCGCCTTCCTCCTTCCTCGTTCCTCCCCCCCTCCCCCTCATTCTCTCACTCTCATAAATTCGGCGCGCAGCTGGCAATAGGCCTCACACGCATGTCGCCGCCACTCACTGTGAGCGAGAGGCATGTTGGGGGGGGGGGGGGGGGGTGGTAGGGAAAGGGCTGGGTGGTGGGTGGTGGGAAACGAAGTGGGTGGTGGGGAACGGAGTGGGTGGTGGGTGGTGGGTGGTGGGGGAGGGTGATGATGAATGGGGTGGATGGTGGGTGGGCCAATGTTGGGGCTCGGTGGAGTCGTGTGGATGTATGATGGGGCTCACATGTGACCCGCCTCCTTGCATTGCCAGAAGGGGAGGTTCGGAAATGGTGGGAGGGTGTTGGGGAATGGCGGGAGGGTGGTGGGGAATGGCAGGAGGGTGGGGGGAATGGCGGGAGGGTGGCGGGGAATGGCGGGAGGGTGGCGGGGAATGGCGGGAGGGAGGCGGGGAATGGCGAGAGGGTACGCACGGGTGTGGGCAAATGCATCAGTGTCATCAGTGGGAAGGTGCACAGGTGTGCTATTCTACCGATGCACCTTCTTTTCCACAACTCACAGATTCAGCTACATCGTGAGGCTGTGCCCGCCTGCCGAGTACTTCGCTCCCCGCCCTTGGAATCTCTGCTCACGTGGGCTGCAGATGCGCTTAGTCACTTAGCCGACCAAGTTCCAACCTTGGCTGTAAATCCTCACCTCTCCCCCCCCCTTCCCCCCCACACCAAAGATACAGGCTGGCAGAATTGCCAGCCAGCCTGCCTGGGGTCACACCACACCACGCCCATGCCTGCTGGGTGTGCGAGGCCTGCTCCTCTTCCCCCATTCTCGTCTCTCCGTCCCCATCCCACCCTGCAGCCAGCAATCGAAGGGCACGCCCCATAATCGAATTGTCTCCCAGACCCCACGGGCAGTGACCTGATGGTGCGAGTGGCCGGCTGATCAATACTGGATGTTTTGCCACCGTATCGATCAACACTCGTTTCCTCTTCACTCGTGTCTCCCCCCCCTTCCCCCTCTTTCCCTCGCTGCACATCCCATGGCTAGGGGTGCTGACAGAGACAGTGGATCTGCATCCTATCCCTCGCCTCACTCCACGCGTGCATGCTCCTCCCCCGCATTGCAACCAGGAGTTGCCACACGCATGTCAGTCACACCTCTAGCAGACAACCCCGGTTGTGAGCGGAGGGTGAAAGTAGGCAGCAGATAGGCCAGGGCTGCTGATGGCGATGGTGGACGTGGTACCAACCGTGAAACTGCCGACGCTCTCCTCTCCTAGATAGGCCATGCCAGGACAGGGTCTTGTATGTCCCTCAATGTCTGATCCTGCAGCCGCTCATCCCGCAACAGGCGTTGCCACACGCCTGTCCCTCACACCTTTTCCAATTTTGCCAGATAGCACGGCAACGAGTTTAGGGTGGTGGCAGCGGACTGGCTGGGGCTGCTGATGGAGATAGTGGACGTCCTGGGAGGGATGTCTATCAGCCTGACATCAGCTGAGATCGACACTGAAGTTGGTGTCACCCCAGCGATGGTCAGGGTGACGTCAGCAGAGATAGTAAGATGTGCTATGTCTGGCAGCAACAGACAGACAAGACTGCACATAACACGTCTGTTGTGACTTTCATGCTTGCAGAGCTGTTAATGTTGCCAGACAGAGCACAGATAGAGAGAGTGACAGTGAGGTTAGGGTAACATGAACAGAGGCTTAGTGCATGCATGGTAACTTATGTTGACTAGCAAAGCCCGCCATGCTACCATGCTGTGCATGCCTGCCAACACAACGTCTTTGCCAATCTGGTGTGTTGAGAGTCTGACTGTTGGCATGCATTCCGTATGAATGTGAAGATGCATGCAGTTTATTTCCGTATTCCGGCATGCATCTTCACATTCATTCACGCCCACACGAATGTATGCATGCATGGCATACTCTCTGCTTTCTTCATTTCTCTTCAGATGTCTGCTGGGGCTCCGCATTTCCCCCCTCTCACCCCCATTTCCCGCCCCCTCTTTCCTTGGTTGACCCTCACATAGCAGAGCTCTCTAGCAGCGTCCCGTCTGTGTCCCCCGGCATCATCTGCCGTCTCCCATCTCCCATCTCTCATCTCCCATCTCCTCCCTTCCCAACTCTCATCGCCCATGTCCCTGCAGGGTGTGGTAGCAAAGGATGTGTTCACAGCGTCGTACCAGGGACGAAGAAATGACCTCGGTGAGATGATGCTTCTATGACCTACTGCCCTAACCTCATCCTCTTTGTCATATGACACAGTTGGAACATTGTGCCATGTCATGGCATTGTGCCATAGTGGTACCAGGTACCATGTACCACAATGCATCGGGTACCGGTCTTGATCAGGTCTTTGGATTGTAGGTAGCAGTCTTGTGTTGTGACTCTAGTGGCTCTAGCGACTCAAGTGACAATGGATACAACAAAGTTTAGTTACCTCACGGTGCAATGCTTTGAATTGCAGAGGTAGCTGTATTGTGAAATAATGACATAACATAATGTACCTTATCGTTTTTCTCTCATGATGTTACATAACAGCTAGCATCCTTCTGCTTCAGCGGGAAGAGAGGGGATAAAAAGCGCACATTTTCCAAAACACAGAGAGGTATCACATTTGTTCAAAGACTAGATCTTATGAAAGGCGATGTGACTACACAAGTGGCTGCACTGCACCGACTGTCAAGATCTTGGACGAAGCAGCACCGACAGACAGTTCCGTGCGCCTGTCACTGTCAGGGCTGCTGCGGCCAAGTTCTGGCAGTGATTGTGAGCCCCGCAAAGCGACTGAGGCCCCTACAACCGTTGCCTAATCTCCAAAGAAGTCGCGAGCATCAGTCCACTTCGCAATTTTTTCTTCCATTTGTCCATTCAACGCCCCATGCCTCCGCCCATACCACCATCCATGCCTCCGCCCATACCCCCATCCATGCCTCCGCCCATACCCCCATCCATGCCTCCTCCCATACCCCCATCCATGCCTCCGCCCATGCTCCCCCCATGACTCATGGCTCCTTCTGATCCGGGAGCAGATGACCCAGGTCCGCCCATGCTGCCCCCAGGTCCGCCCATGCTGCCCCCAGGTCCGCCCATGCTGCCCCCAGGTCCACCCATGCTGCCCCCAGGTCCGCCCATGCTGCCCCCAGGTTCGCCCATGCTCCCACCAGGTCCGCCCATGCCTCCTCCAATCCCGCTGCCTATCCCAGATCCGCCCAGTACGGGTGCTGCCAGCGACCCTGGAGCAAACGAGCCGGAGCCATCCATACCTCCGCCGCCCATTCCGCCATCGCCCATCCCTCCGCCCATTCCCCCGCCGCCCATCCCTCCACGGCCCATACCTCCACCGCCCATCCCTCCGCCGCCCAATCCTCCACTGCCCATCCCTACGACACCCATCCCTCCGCCGCCCATTCCTCCACCACCCATTCTGCCGCTGCTAATTCCGCCGGGTGCTGCCTGCGACCCTGGAGCAGAAGACCCTGAGCCACGCCCTCCCGTTCCACCACCCATGCCTCCGCCCATTCCCCCACCGCCCATTCCACCTCCGCCAATTCCGCCTCCGCCCATTCCCCCACCGCCCATTCCACCTCCGCCCATTCCGCCTCCGCCCATCCCGCCGCCGCCCATACCTCCTCCGTCCATTCCGCCGCCGCCCATCCCACTGCCGCCCATCCCGCCGCCGCGCATCCCGCCGCCGCCCATCCCGCTGCCGCCCATACCGCCTCCGCCCATTCCGCCGCCGACCATCCCGCCGCCGCCCGTTCCGCCGCCACCCATTCCGCCCCCGCCCATTCCGCCACCGCCCATCCCGCCGCCGCCCGTTCCGCCGCCACCCATTCCGCCCCCGCCCATTCCGCCGCCGCCCATCCCGCCGCCGCTCGTTCCGCCGCCGCTCGTTCCGCCGCCGCCCATTCCGCCGCCGCTAATTCCGCCTCCGCCCATTCCGCCTCCGCCCATTCCGCCGCCTCCCATTCCACCCCCGCCCATTCCGCCGCCGCTCATTCCGCCGCCGCCCATTCCTCCACCACCCATTCTGCCGCTGCTGATTCCGCCGGGTGCTGCCTGCGACCCTGGAGCAGAAGACCCTGAGCCACGCCCTCCCGTTCCACCACCCATGCCTCCGCCCATTCCCCCACCGCCCATTCCACCTCCGCCCATTCCGCCGCCGCCTGTTGCGCTGCTGCCCATTCCGCCGCCTCCCATTCCGCCCCCGCCCATTCCGCCGCCGCCCATTCCACCGCCGCCCATTCCACCGCCACCCAATCCGCCGCCGCCCATTCTGCCGCCGCCCATTCCGCCGCCGCCCATTCCTCCGCCACCCATTCCGCCGCCACCCGTTCCGCCGCCACCCATTCCCCCCCGGCCCATTCCGCCGCCGTCCATACCTCCTCCGCCAATTCCTCCGCCCTGCTGCTGCTGCTGCTGTCCGGTCGAGCGTCCGCCTTGCATCTTTCCGCGCATCATTCCGCGCAGCTTGTCCACGCGGAGCCCCGCGGAGGAGCGAAAGGCCAACGTGGCGTGGAGAGACGAGAAGACGAGGAGGGAGAGGAGGAGAAGGCAGGTGCTCAGATTGTGGCGAGGATGCTGGCTCGGCGAGAGCGACACTCTCTGCGTCATTGCGCTTGTCACCAGCGGATGTTACAACAGAAATCGCTTGGGGAATAAGATTAGCTGCCGCAGAGGGTTCTACGAACAATTCCGTGTATCTGATCGGAATGGTCGTCTCCTGTTTTCCTATCTTCAGGCTGAAGGAATGTGTGTGGAATGAATTGCCGAATGGGTTTGCCGCATTTTGTACCCCATCGCGTCGCGAAGGGTTCCCACCTCATGAAGCACCTCGCGACGCGCGATGACTCAGTCGTCAAGAAATGACCCAAGGAGCGGAAGCCACATCGGCAGGACGAACGTCGAGTCAACAGGACGAAGAAATCAAGTCAACGTCTCGTTGACCATGCCGTTTCTTGGGCCGACAATTTCTACCCTTGCAAGGAAACACAAAGAATGATGTGCATCCCCGGTTCAAGCTTCACAATTGATTACACACAGGAAATCATCCAAAGGGCCATAGATTCCTTCTTGATCTTCCTAGTATCAATATATCATACTTGTACTAGTATGTTACACCTGTATTATACTTGTTGGAAATACCTCAAGGACTTAAGCGTTTCTGAAGTGTAACATCACACTCGAGTGAAGCCGTATCGAGTATGCGGGTCAACGGAGGTTACACAAGGAGGTTGGACGAAAGAATACGAAAGGACAAAAGACTCGAAGGGTCGCAACCGGAGGTTGCGATTGGCCGTTACAGCTGCAAGGGTGGTAACCGAATCGACCATCGAGTCGCTGTGCGACTCGATAACCGTTCCTTCAACTGTATTCTACAGCTGCTTCACTTTTCCTATTTTCTATATATTACTGTATACTTGTTCCTTTTAATCAATCACTTGCTCTCACATATTAGTGCAAGGGTTCAACTTCTCAAACTTCCGCTGCACTACTCAAGTATCGTTTACAACTGGGACTTAGTCTCTGAAATATCCTAAGGGCTTTTTCTCCGCCCAACATGGTATGAGAGCTGGTCAGAGACCAAACTCCCAGCAACTACACTCTATCTACAGTTAGCACACCAACGACTTCATTTATTACAAGTCATGGACAACAAGGGCAAGAAGATTTCTACGGGCTCACCCAGTGGCCAAGACACTCAACCCGGCAACTCTGGACTGCACACTTCAGGACTGCAGACCGAGGCCGGCGCCGCTCCAGAAACAACAGGAAGAGCACCAGAAATGGTGACCCCATCACCCTCTTCAAGCGTGGACCCGAACCTTATGGAAAGGTTCTTCAGCTTCATGTCACACTTCGACCAGCAGCAGCAGACAAGGACACCTGTGCATTCAACACAGAGCAACGGAGGAAACATGGGATTAGCGCCGATGAGCCTCGACAACTCATCGTTCGGGCGACACAATCAAGCACCTACCTTTGCGCCTTATCACTCTTCACCGGGGACGTTCGAGTTCATGCCGCCCCGTGCCCAACCAAGAGCAGCTGCATCACAACAGACACCAAATGAGATACTGAGTCTCCAGGCGCAGTTTTCACACGTGATCAAACTGCAGACATCCTCACCGTTCAACGGACACGACTTCTTTACCTGGAGCTTTGAGTTCGAGCTGCTGATGGAGGCTGCGCACCTCTTGGGATACTTCAACGGGTCCCTGCCATTTCCAAGCAATGGCACTGCAAAGGAGCAAGAAATATTTACTTATCAGTCGCTGCTGGCGTACACAGTTCGCCTGCGGAACTTGTCACCACAAGAACAGCAAAGCATCAGAACGTATCGGAGCTATGGAAACTCCGCGGAACTCTCATGGCATCATCTCAAGTGGCTCTATCAAGCAAACGACAGTGTGACACAAAGCAGACTCATGCAGCAGCTGACAACAATACAGATGAAGATCGGGGAAAAGGCGATGCAGTATAAGAGTCGCTGCCAGACACTCCGCGACCGCCTGCTTCGGTGTGGAGGTACAATCACTGAAGAAAGCTTCGTGACACTTGTCCTCGCTGGGCTCGGGCCAAAATGGAGAACCACCCGCTCGCTTCTTCGCGCCCACGGAAGAATTTCGGAGATGCACCTCTGCGCTGAGCTTCATGCTGAACAACAAGAGATGGACCTGTTTGAAGAAAGGCAATCACGAAACAAGCAGCAACCGTTAGTCTTCTATACCCAACGAAGAAACGACAACAACTACAATTGACGCGGCAAACAAGACCAACACGACACCAGAGGACTCACCATTGTGCCGCCGTTCTGCCACAACTGTCAAACATCTAGACACTCCAAAGTCAGCTGCACACGCCCCAGAGCTTATCGTCCAGTAAACCCACAAGTTGCTTCCACTCAAGAAAGTCCACCGATGCGTTCCTCCGTATCTGCACAAGGCACACCAAACATCATCAACTGTATGGTACGCATCGACAACTACGCACCAGGATCACCACCCACTTACGCTCCAGACGAAGAAGAACTGCCGCCGCCGCGCTCACAAGGTCTTCAGGTGAACCCGACATATGCTGCAGTTGCCAACGCCGAACGCACCGGGCGAAACACCTGGTTCTTGGATAGCTGCTGCGGCCAACACATGTGTTCTTCCGGGCGCTTCGTGCAGCGAGAGCGACGCCTCAACCGCAATGTCATCATCACCGTCGCCAACAACGAGAATCTGAAAACAAACAGACAAGGTGTCGTTCAGCTTCAGTCAATGGAGACAAACGTCATACTGCAACTCAACAAAGTTCTAATCGTCGACAACTTGGGATACAACTTACTAAGCGTCAGCAAGTTAACGGCAAAAGGAATTCACATGGAATGCGACTCGGACTCCAACGAATTTTGCCTTTACCACGGGAAGGACGGCCTTTTCATCGGTCGCGCTCTCCTGAAGTCGGGCGTCTTCGTGTTGGATTTCGTCCCCGACCGCGGTACTGCCGACAGCGATGGCATCGTGTCGTTCGCAGCATGGACGCACCCGCCGGATCTTGACCCTGACTTTACCCCAGATGGTTTCTGGTACTCCAACACAATACGTGCAGCAGAAAGGACCCGAGCATTAGCAGTCATACGACAAGAAAGACACGTACCAGCAAGTGTCCCACCAGCAACATCACCTGCAGTAGCAGCAGCAGGACCTAGTCGCGTGCCATCACCAGCAGTCTGAGGACCACCAACCAAAGCAGACCAACTCATGCCAAACGCTCGAGGAGTTTGCGGCAGTCCCGCAACAGTCGTCGCGTTCTTCTCCAATACCAACTTGTATCAGCGCTCCCCCGGTCATCGCGCTCCCGACGACATCTGGCACCAACGCCCCGGTCACCCTGCAAACAGTACAGTTCTACAAACAATCCAAGCTGGAGTATTAGAAAAGGACGCTCTCCTCACAACGAGCGGACAAGAGCTTCAACGACCTCGCGCGAGATGCTTCACGTGTCCTGAAGCCGATCTTCCACACCAACCCTTTCCGTCGCATCACAATCCAAGTGCACCTGCATACGCACCGATGGAAAAAGCTTACATCGACATCTTAAATATGCCGCGAGACTACTGAGAAGCAGACTTCAACTATGTCATCACGTTCATCGACGCAGCAACAAGATACGTCTGGCACTACAACCTCAAGACACGCGATCAGGCATTCGAAGCCTTCACGACTTGGCTCCCCATCGCTGAACGAGAATCAGGAACTCAACTCAAGAGCTTCCAGTCAGACGGGGCACTGGAGTATCAGTCACAACGATTCAGGAACTACTTGGCGGAGAGAGGAATCAGACGCCTGGTGTCTCTACCCTATGCTCACCAGCAACAGGGGGTCGCCGAGAGAATGAACCGGACCTTGCAGACGACGATGCGGAAGCTGCTCCTGGGGATGAGACTGCCCAATACCCTTTGGCTTGACGCGATGACCCATGCAGTTCACCTGCACAATTTGTTGTCCTTGTCATCACTTCCCAACAACGCATCACCGCACTTGCTGTGGACGGGAAAACAGGGCAGAACAAAATTACTTCGTGTCTTCGGCTGCATGGTATAGTACAGACCCCACACAGCACGCGCAGGACGATTCTCTCAGCGAGCACAAAGGGGACTACACCTCGGGATCGCAAAACATTTCCAAGCATGGAAACTTCTCGACATACAAGACAAAAACACCGTGGCCTCACGTGATGTGATCTTCTACGAGCGACTGACGCTGCAGCATTACCTGGACAACATTGACAACACAGAAAACCCCGCGAATGGCTTCGAGGGCCTTCGGTCCTTCGTCGACCGTGCTGCCGAGGCTGACACAGCAGAAGAAGACGTACCTGGAGCTTGGGAAGCTGCCGGACCACTCCCTTTCTTCTCCGTGCCTGTTCCACTCGACAACGACAATCCTCTCGATAGTAACAATCTTGACACCTATTACCACTTCGCTGACCAAGGTTACATTACACCTCAACCAGTCGACACGAATGTCTTAGAACGCATCGGACCAAATTTCTTACCTGATCCAGAAGATGGTGACGAAGCAGCCTATTCCGGGAATGAAAATTCCCCTCGACACACACCCACGGGCCTGCAGATACTTGGATTATGGGTCTCCGTCCAGTACCCGCCACCGCCGTCTCCGCGCGAGCCCACGACTCTGTCTCAGGCTCTGGGGGGGGAACATAAGGCGAAATGGAAGGAGGCAATGGAAAAGGAACTGAAAGCTCTGCAAGACCGAAATACATGGAAGCTGGTACCTGCAACAAACATCAACGGGAAGAACGTACTCTCGGGAAAGTGGGTGTACCGCATCAAGACTAATGCGGACGGCTCCATCGAACGATTCAAGGCTCGCTGGGTCGTACGAGGATTCGATCAACGATACGGAACCGACTACACAGAAACATTCGCCCCAGTCTCCCGTCACAACCCCTTGCGCATTCTACTCGTCGTCGCGGCCACGAAGAAACTACCACTGCGCCAGATCGACGTCGCAAACGCCTTCTTGTACGCACCTGTGGACGCCGAGATCTTCATCAAGCAGCCCCACGGATTCATCAACGACCCCACAAAAGTATGCCAGTTGATAAAATCCCTCTACGGGATCAAGCAAGCTCCGCGGCTGTTGCAGCAGCATCTTCACGGCCGCCTCGTCAGAATCGGGTTCCTACAGCTGCCGCACGACCAAGGCATGTACCGACTACAAAAGAAAGGGGGAT